TGTCATTATGTCAGCATATTTTTCAAATGGGAAATGTGACAAAGCACTTCATGTCTTTGATCAATTGAGAAAAAGAGGAACTAAACTGAATCACGATTCCTGGAATTCTGTTATTGGTGGGTGCATGCAAAGTGGAAGAACAGATAAGGCGCTTCAAATACTTCGTGAAATGCAGCAGTCGGGTGCAAAACCAAATAAAATCACAATCACCAGTGTGTTACCTACTTGTATAGATCTAGGAAGCCTAAGAAGAGGTGCAGAGATTCATGGTTTTATCATTCGCTGTTTATTTTTGGAAGATGAGACAGTCTCCACTGCTTTGTTACTCATGTATGCTAAATGTGGTGACCTGGAACTATCCAAAAGAGTCTTCTATATGATGCCAAAAAAAGATACTATTGCTTGGAATACAATGATTGTTGGAAATTCAATGCATGGGAAAGGAGAGGATGCTTTGATACTTTTTCATGAAATGGTAAGTTTGGGGGTGAAACCCAACTCTGTTACTTTTACTGGCGTGCTATCGGGTTGCAGCCATTCACAGCTGGTAGACGAGGGTCTTTTGATCTTTTACTCAATGAGCAAGGAGCATGGAATTGAACCTGATGCAGAACATTATTCGTGCATGGTTGATGCTCTAAGCCGTGCTGGTCGCCTAGAACAGGCATATAATTTTATCCAAAACATGCCCCTGAAACCAACTGCTAGTGCTTGGGGAGCATTGCTTGGTGCATCTAGAGTATATAAGAACGTGGAGTTGGCACGGGCTGCTGGAAAACAACTGTTGGAGATTGAGCCAGAAAATGCCGGGAACTATGTTTTGTTGTCCAACATCTATGAAGCTGCCAAACTACGAGAGGAGGCCTCAGAAATTAGGAAATTGATGAGAGAAAGAGGAATTATGAAACTTCCTGGTTGTAGTTGGATTCAAGTGAAAGACAAAGTGCATACCTTTGTTGTCGGCGACAAGAATAATGCGCAGGCTGCAGAGATTTACAGCTTTTTGGCTGAAATAGGTGAACAGATGAAGTTAGCCGGGTATTTACCCTGTACAGACCTTGTTGGCCAAGATCTTGATGCAGAGGAGAAGGAATACAGTTTGTGCAATCATAGCGAGAGGCTTGCTGTTGCCTTTGGGATTCTTAATTTGGATGGTGCATCGTCAATTAGGGTGTTCAAAAACTTGAGAATATGTGGAGATTGCCATAATTCCATGAAGTATTTAGCCAAAATTGTTGGGGTGCAGATCATTGTGAGAGATCCTCTAAGGTTTCACCATTTTAAGGATGGGTTATGCTCCTGTAGAGATTTTTGGTGAAATAACAAATGCCATCAAGTATTAAACTTGATAAGCTGCAAGCATAATAAATCCTTAAGGGATATTTCGGGGATCTAAGCTGATAATACTATATGAAGAAGATTCCTTTTGTTCTTCTCCAAGGAAAATAGAAGTCTAAAGATGTCATCAACTGTGACCATGCTTGCAGTTGCAACTAATGATTTAGAAATTTTGCTAGCACTAGCTTCGTGACATACACTGAGCACAAAGGTTCTACGGCCTAGCCCTGTATGCAAAAATGTAACAATTCAATTCTAACCGCCTTTAGGCACCTCATTGTATGTCTGAAGGTCGTCTCTTCAGAGTGGCAAAGTTCTAAGCAAGAGAAGAAAAGGTGATACTGCCAGGTTTGGTACCTGGGACTATAATACGAATTGTTTATGTTTGCCGGTCAATATTGAAAACAATAAGATGATTGTTATTCATAGGAACTTAAACCAAGGAAGAGTAAGAATTTATATTGGTTCCGTTGTTTATTTCTCTTGGTATTGATTTCTATCCATCTGTCTGTCTGTTTCTACTTTAGTTGCAAATTTCATCTGCTTTACCATTGCATGATCAATGATGGGCACTAAGTTGTTTGTTACTTATTAGCTATGTACTCCTTGTCATGGTTTAAGATCTCTTAATGACATAAAAATTACTTAATTGAGCACACCTTTATTGAAAACATCCCCATATTTTGATGATTGTGAAGTAAACGGAACAGCGATTGAGCTCACCTTTGCTGTACACATACCCATATTTTGATGATTGTAGCGTCTGGGGGACATAGACTGTCATTAATTTGCACTTTGCTATGATGATCAGTACTTTGTACTCTATTCTGAGTAAATACAAGCATTACCAATGTTTGTAACTAGCTATCAGCATGAAATATTACTCAAGCTTTATAATATACAGCAAGATAGTTTTTTCAATGCTTGTTCAAATTGAGTCAGAGAAAGTTTAACCTTGTAACTTACAAACAAATTCAGACCAAGAAATGATACACAAATTCTAGAATCTCTCCATCATTCAAGTTGGGCATACCAGATACCCTGGATTTTCACATCCTTGGGGACCTTTGCACCGAGATCAGTATCAGATGGCTGGATGCTCTCAAATACTCCAATGACCTCACCGGTCTCTGGCTTGCTCTGGGTAACACTCAGGGTGATCTTTCCTGTAGAAGATGAAGTATTCTTTACGTTCTCCTTCTGAAGCTCCTCCTCGTCTCCTCTCCCTCCAGCAGGCAATGCAACAGCGTTGTCATAGCCAGTAGATCCACCCCGTCCCTTTGGGTCAAGGAAGGATGAACCTCTGTATGAAGGCACAAGGAATTCACCGCTAAAGCTTTCTGGTTTGCCGCTTGCCACTAGCTGTTTAATAGTGAAGAGGAAGGGCACACGCTCACCACCAGGAAGCTGAACTGTAACAGCAGCATAATCAATTCCATCCTTCTCCTCAAACTTAACAGTGCCATCAGAAGACACTTCGAATGGTCCCTCAATCTCATCAAGGGTGTAGGTTAAGCGTGTCATGAGCTTGGTTTTCTGGAAATCTGGGGGTGCGTTCTTGTTCACACTCTCTGCCTTGACCGTGAATGATGTGGGCTCTAAGCAGAATTTCTTGGCATTGTATTTGCCTGGCTTGAAGGCAAAGCTGGCAACACCTCCATCTATGGTAGGGCACTGGTTAGCAGTTCCAGTTCCCTTTACTTCCATGTATGTCTTGCTTTGAATTTCGTCAAAGGTTAGACGTTTTGGAACTCCTTCCGCATTTGCTCCCTAGCAGCCAAGTGTACAAACTTTAGGACTTTTTGCATGAGAAACAAGAATTTCATGTTTAATTAAGACAGAAGCCCTAAAACAGTTGATCATCCTTACAGAAACATGGATGCTTGTCCTGAAATACAGATGACAACATTGAATGTCCAGAAATGAGCAATGGAAAGTTTGACAAGAGATTGGAGGATTGAATATAGACTGATCTTAATTTTGGAGGTGCTATTGTGAGGGTATGTAATGGGGCGACAATGGTAAAGAAGCCCTCTTAAAGTATTTCTACGCACCTGATATAGATATTTGGTAAAGAATATAAGGCCTGCAAGCTCAAAGAATGTTTTACCTGCTTTTAGAGTCATCGGTATGTCATACTGGTAAGGTAGCATTCATCTCTGATCCAACTATCATCTTAATTAAATTCAGGTGATTGGATTTACACCAACGGAAACCATAAACTTCATACACAATAGAGGGATATGATAGAGTTTTTTTTTATTTTTAAAATGAATGGAATTCCTTCATTCATCATATCACTGGTACTAATCACTGAGTGTAAAAGTGGCTTTCTTGCTTTTGTGCTTATTCATGATCTAAACAAGTCGCACATACACCCAAGTACATGTTCCTTAAAGCTGAGGGAACCCCGAAGAGCGAGGGATCTCGTGACATTTTTCATTGGTTGTTTTGTATTTCTAATAAGTTGTTTAATAGTTGGCATGTTGAATCATATACATAATGTGATGGATTGATCCTCACGGAATGATGATGAGAAAGTGCTAATTTGTTTTTTACTGGTGACTAGAGCCTTCATGCAATACCTAAATTGTGCTGTCTGAATTTATGACTTTATTATGCAGGAAAAAGCACTGGATATATGGGAAATATGGACATGAAACAGGCAGAATTGAGTAAGAAAAGCAACTTACCGAGACGACAAGGGCAGAAGTGGCCAGAGCAAAACCAGCAACCTTGGCAGCATCAGTGAACTTTTGAGCCAAGTCCTTGAGTTCAGTTTGCAAAGAGCAAGTAAGCCTAGCTGCAGCTGGTTCAACACCAAATGCTTTGCTCACACTTTGAGCAGACCTCAACTGCAGGTTGTTTCTAGCTGGGGCAACACCAACCTTTGTTGGTTGCATAAGAGTAGCAGCTGCTTGTAGAGAGGCAGCCATAATTTTACCCTTTTCTTGATCAAAGTCTTCTCCTCTCTGTTTCTATTTTTTTAGGAAGTGGTTGAGTGGCAGTAAGAAGTGGTTTGTATGAGAGGCTGGACAAATTATTTTGGTGGCTTTGCTGTGAGTAAGATAAGAGATAGGATAAGGGCTATTTTTCATTGGTTGGTTTGAGTATTAGCCTATTATTTGGTGGCCTGCAACGTGGCAAAGTTAGTATTTTGGATAAAGATTCTCCCTTTTGTAATCTTGCCAGGAAATTAGTGGACTACCGCGTCTTGCCTTATTTGAAAGTAAAAATGTAAAATATTTATTGACACTCAACATTTTACGTTTACACCATATCATGTCTTTTACGTACTATTTTATCCTCTTAGCCAATGTTAATTAATGTCACCTCGATTTATCACTTAAGCTAGTAGATTCATTCCTAGATTCCCGTCACTATAGACTGTGTTTTGGTATAAACATTGTGTGTCTGAGAATTAGATTGATAAATTATACGGTATACCAATATGAGCAGAATACCCTTATGAATAGGTGAAGTTATGAAAACCAACTACCAGACCTCTTTGTTTTTGTTCAGGTTTGGAAAAAAAAATTAAAAGGTTTAAACGATTCTTTTTGGTTTTTAAAGTAATTTTTATTTTCTGAAAATTAAGACGAAAGCCTTTTTGAAAAAATCAGAAGTAACTCAAAAAAGAAAAAGGGTGAAGAAAAGAAAATTAGGAATTTTTATTCTTTATTTGATCAGTGTACTATTAGAGCGACTATGGACATGTATGATGGAGCCAAGATCCGAGTGAGAACATCGAGAGGAGACTTGGAGCACTTCCCACTCAAGATGGGGTTGTACCAGGGATCATCTCTTAACCCGTTTTATTTGCCTTGGTGATCGATTTATGGATACGACATATTCAAAGGGAGGTGCCATGGTGTATTTTTTTACAGATGACATAGTCTTGATTGACAAGACTCACGGCAGAGTTAACGATAGACTAGAAGTTTGAAGACAAACCCTAGAGTCTAAAGATTTCAGTTTGAGCAGGACTAAAACGGTGTATATGTAGTGTAAATTCAGTGATGTTTCACATGAGGCGGATGTAGAAGTAAGAACCAGTACATAGGTTACCTCAAGAGATGAAGCTTCAAGTATTTTGGGTCAATAATCCAAGAAAACCAGGAGATCGATGATAATGTCATACATAGTATTAGAACGGAATGGATGAAATGGAGGCTCGTAACCGGTGTCATATATGATAAGAATGTGCCAGCGAGACTTAAAGGTAAGTCTATAGAGTAGTTGCTAGACCAACTATATCAGGGGCGGAGCAATAGTGTTGAGAGCGGGTTCGGCCGAACCCAGTAGCTTTGGTTCGAACCCTGTATTTGTCTTAAAAAATTCATTGAATATGTATAAATTATTTATTTAGAACCCAGTAACTTAAGCCGATTAAAATTCCGAACCCATAAACTTGAAATCCTGGCTCCGCATCTGAACTATATTATATGGGGCAGAAAGTTGACTAGTCAAGAACTCACACGTTCAAAAGATAAAAGTTGCGAAAATGGGGATGTTTAGATGGATGTGTGGGAATACTATGAGAGATAAGATTAGGAATGAAGATATACGGGACAAGGTGGGTGTGGCCTCTATGGTGGACAAGATGCGGAAAGTGCTGAATACATACAGAGACATCTAAAGTTGTCACTATTTTTCCTTTAAACATTTTAAGCAGACCTTGTTTCGATTGAACACATATAGTAGGCAGAACGTGTACCAATCAGACACATTTCGCTGGCATAACTAATAGCGTGAGTTGCACCTGTAGGATACTCATATTCATTGTCCTCTACTGATGTTTTAGGAGTATTTTCGACGCATAAATATATGTGCATACATACTTTTATCTCTTAATTATTTAATTTTCACTTAGAAAACCCTACTAAGTATGATTTAGTTATTGCCAAACTACAGTTAGGGACATCATGTCAAAGAGTATTCTACATGGTACAACTCACCGCTATCAATAATACCAGCAAAATGTATCTAATTGATACACTTTGGCCTACTATAGGTATTCAATTGGATCAAGGCTTATTTGAGATATTTAAATAAAATATCGTGGCAACTTTAGGTGTCTTCTATTCGGTCTTGTATGGAGTAGAAAGTTGACCAATCAAGGACTCACACATTCAAAGATAAAAGTAGTGAAAATAAGAATGCTTAAATGGATATGCGGGAATACTATGAGAGATAAGATTAGGAACGAAGATATACGGGACAAGTTGGGAGTGACCTCCATAGTCGACAAGATGCGAAAAGTGAGACTAAGATAGTTCAGGCATGGGACAGATGCCCCAATAAGGAGGTGCGACAGGTTGGCATTGTTAGGTCTAAGCACTGGTAGAGATATACTGATTAGAATAGAGGAAAAGTGATTAGACAGCACATGACACATCTTCAGCTCAACGAAGACATGACCCCTAGATATGAGGGTATAGAAATCGAGAATTAGGTTAGAAGATTAGTAAGTAGTCGAGTGATTTCTCTCTTTTCTATGTAGAGCATGGTTTTGGTTTTTACCATCCTATTGGCTCCTTCTCCTAATCAGTAATAATATCATTATTATTTTTCTATTATTATTTGATTCTTCAATTTATTATTACTATTGTTTCTTTTAGTTATTATCTTTACTATTTTTGTTATCAATACATTTCTTTTTTTTAGTATTTTCATCATAATTTTTTCTCTCGTATTTTGTTTTACACCTATTTTGAAAATATTTTTCTTGACCCGAGAGTCTATCGTAAAGAACCTTTCTACCTCATATAAAGTAAAGGTAAGGTCCATGTACACCCACTCTTCTTAGACCCTTCTTGTGAGATCACACTAAGTATGTTGTTGTAATATGATCCTTGTACTTCTTTCGTAATTTCTAAAAATATTTTCTTTTTTTCTTGCATTCCTTTACTATAAACTCTTTCTCAACATTCTTTCACTTATTCTGTACTGTGGTTATTCAACCATTACTTGCATGTATTCCGTTATGT